GGGAAATACTAGAAATAAAATCAACTGAGAGTCTGCCACTGCTGTATCTGCAGTTCACTGTAAAATGCCAGAAGGAAAAAAAAAAAAGCACAAAACCCCCAAAACCTTTCATATGGTTTTCATTTTGATTAAGTGTTTTTTTTTCCTTTATTCAGAGACATTCTGTGTTGACTTGCTCGGCACTGAAGGGCTGGGTATGACTTTGTTGTATCGCACGCTGTCTGCAAAACAGCGAAGCAGTGGCCACTCCATTTTGCAGAGAAAACGTGCTCTGACGAAACATTTACTTCTTACGTCTTGCGTTTAAGCTTTGCAGGGTGTTATCTTACCACTTCTCCTGGTGAAAACTAAAGGATTTTTAAAAATGTACTTCATTTAACCTGTTTACACTCCATGTAAAATTGTGAGTTTGAAAATACTTTTCCACTGTCACGTATATTACGGAACATTTAAACTGTTACAAGTACCGTAAAGTACTTTCGAGGTCTTTTGATTTCTAAAGATGCAGTATCCTTATAGTTACATTTGTGTAGGAAAACATGATTTACTGCGGAAAGTGACCAGAATTTAAGCATTTTTAAGGTACCAATGGGCCTGACTCCATAAGCACACATTATACAGCAACTGTTACGCTAGAACGGAACTGTGGAAATACAAAAATCTTTAAATTTCTCTGTGTACTTCTCCAGTTACAAATTACAGGCAAAAGCATAACACAGTAAGAGGAGCTGGTTTCTTAAGAAGGTAGTATTTTCTTTTACAGTGTTTATTTCCATTCTTCCTTTTCTGATTTCTTTATTTTTAAATAAACTTGTCTATTACCTGCAGGCAGGCAGAGGCAGGTGGAAGCGCTGGGGCTTATACGCACGGGTGCAAGGATGAGCACACGGAAGCAAGGCAGATTTACTGAACAATCTTTAGATTGGTCTCCTATGGAAGATGCAGCTTCACACATCCACCTTTCCAAACCAAAGTTCGAACTCAAAAATAAGCGGAATATTAATGGTGAAACCTACTCCGATTTTGAGGCACCCACCTTCAATAAAGGAGAAAGAGATTTTTTCCATTAAACAGCATTTATTATCAGAAGATAGATTTATAAATGGCAACTAGAATACATTTTCAATGTGGCTAATGGAAAACGAGACTTATGATCACTGTTATTCCCATTATTAAAGGGGAGAAAGGTTGTCCAGCTATTTGTCCATGCTCTGCACTGTGAGTTTACCCCAAACATCAACATCACTGATGTCATTTTTAACACTGTTAATTTTGTTATACATTACTCCAGCAAATAATCATATATACAAGTCAGTCTAAATCTATTTAATTAATTGTGTAAGCATGACAGAGAATAAGGAATACTGCATCTTCCATCCCCAAGTATAAACTGCTGTTGCAATGAGCCAATTTTACAGTGCTGAATAAAACAGGTGCTCAAAAATAATGACAATTTAAAATTTAAAAAGTTCTGTATCAAAGCTGCTTGCTCGTTACGTTTTCCTATAATGTTGGCTACTGAGATTTCCTGACAAATCCATTGGATCCTTTTGGAAACATCTGAAATTTGACTTTGTGGCATAGTTTCCTTTGTAATGGGCACAGTGACTACTACTCATCCTTTACTCAAAAGCATAAATTTCAATTTTCCCAGAAAAACTGTGTAGTCGTCTCTCCCAGCTGCTCAATTAAGATGGCCCCACTGTGTTGTGCCAAGAGGAGATCTGGTATTTCTGCACACCACACATGACGTAAGCCTTGGCCACAGTTGTGAAATGTCACAGACCTGTGGTGGGGTATCAGGATTTTTGATAAAACTATCCTGGAGCGATCGCCCTTGGTCTTTGAATTTTGGTGGGTCTGAACCACAGCCACTGACAGGACACCCTGAGTATTTGGGGGACGTCAGCTCCACACCCAAACACTCTCTGCCTACAGAGTAATTTCTCTTAAAATACTTCTGAAGGGCAAAACAAACCAGGAAACAGCCTCACTGAGCATCTGGGGCCAAAGTCCGTGGGTGCTGGTGCGAATGAGTTACTTGCCAAAAACCCTGCTGGGTACCTGAAACCCAGTGGTGGACTTCTGCTGGTTGTGTGAGCTGTCTAGAGGTAACAGCAGCACCAAAAGCCCTTGCTGGAAAGGTTAAGGACACACTTACTGCCTGTGAAATGAGAAAATGTAGTGTACACTGCTTTACCTTTTGGCTTTGTTCTGTTACCACTGATGCGCTCTGTGCCTGTGTCCCTTGGTGTGAGGTCTGCTTTAATCCTGTATCACTCTGGGGCTCACTGAATAAAGTCAGACCCTCTTTCTGTTGTTTCCTATGCATAAAGTCATGGGCAAGCAGCTGAAAGACAAGGGGTACACAGAGACCAACCTCAGCCCCGGGACAGTTCATTGCTGAATGCTGCAATTTAAGGACTCCCAGTTGCTCTTGGAGAAGTTTTTCTCTATCCATTGACTGCAGGGGAAGCCACTGGTCTCCCCTGGTTATACTTTGCCTTGGTGAATAATAACACGAGAGACAATCTCCATCAGTGCGCCTCTTGTACGCAAACAGAATGACCTTAAAGAGCTTCAGGCAAATACACTTAATTATCTGTGGGAGGAAAAAAAATCACAGATTCTGAAAGGAATCCTGTATGCCATTGGTTCTTCAGCTGAATTACTGCTATCCAGGTAAAGAGTGGGTAAAATGTTCTTGGGCAGGAAAATAATTTCATCAGTTGACTTCTCCCTGCCCTTTTTTCCCTAGACGCTGAAAATGGCAGATCCATTTAAGGGGACAATACTGGAGTACATAAAAGACAGATACCACATGTAGTCCATGAACCATCTCACGCACAACACTCACAACCAGTTCTTTAAACCCACAGCAGTAACGCTGCTGGTAAAGCCCCACTCCTGCCCCGCAACGCCTCATGGCCCATCCAGCAGCCCTGATCCGTCGCAGCCTTTCGACGCGTTGCATGGATGCTGAGCACCTCTGCTTCATTCCCAATTTGAAGCTGGATACTAAAATGTTGCCGAATTTGGTGGAAGCTGATTACCAGCCCAGTCAATGGGAACTGATAGAGGGATTTTTTTTCCCACAGGGGCTGCTTGTTTTTCTTAAGGATTCCCTTGATTTCAGAAGCCCCCCAATGTTACTATGGTTACTTCAGGAATCAGAATTTAATTCAGAATGGTCAAACATTAAGAAATGGACAAATGTCATCACAAGTTTAATCTCTGTAATTCCTGGAACCAAATATTAATAATTAAATGGATTGCAAAAGACGTTTATGTATGCATCTTTCATCTCTAAGATATAAAAATCTCAACACTTAAAAAATCTTGCCAAGCCTCCTCTTCGTCAAATTTAGCTGAATAGGCAGATCCCTGTGAGGAAAGAAAACCGAAAAACACTACTCCATTTGCATGAACAACTGATGACTAAGAGTTTCTCTCTCTCCTACATAATTCAATTAATACAAATTGGTTCACAATTATAGGGCTGTATGGGAACGATCAAGAATTTCCTTTTATTTAACCTGAAAAGGCGTGGATTGAAAACCCCAGCAGAGGCAGCCACTGGTACCCATATAAAGGACCACTTATATCACAGCAGACAGCTGGCAAAATCTTGTTACTCCCCAGCTCCCAGGGAGAAACCTAATGTCTTGCAGAGCACCACTGCAGGGCCATTTCTCCTTCCCACGTATGGTTCATCTACTGACTCCTCAACAATCAGCTCCTTCCTTTACCTTTCTTTCTTTCCAGACACGAGTATTATGCTGAAGGAAATGAAAGTACTTAATTGTGGTACCTGGCAGGTCAGCGCAACCATCAGGAAGATTAACTCAAATGATCTTACGTGCTATTTCTGCACAGCCCCCCTTCTGTTGGTGTGGAGTAGATTATTGTCTGGAGAGCCATTTTTACTCATTATTGCTTTTTCTGTGCAAGAGATGCAGCCGTGTCTTCTCTCTTTTGTTTTGTTGGTACATTCAATTCCATTGCATGAATGGCCACACCACCAACCTTGGTACCAGCGAGTGTAAGATGTGACTATTTCCATGTGTTCAAATAACGGTTGTGGGGAAGAGGTTACTTGCATGAAAGAAAACCACACTTTGAGAATGGGGTAGTAGTTTTCAGATGGGCTTTTTTCTACACAAATCAGAAAACGGTTCTAAATAAGTCCATGGTAAAATACAGATACTTAATATTGTACTCTCAGCAAAAATGCTGCTGCCCCTTGTTTATTTTACAGACTTCAACAACAACAACAACAACAACAAAAGAAGAGAAAGGAAAAAAAAAAGATCAAAGTAAAAGGTTAAATGGCTGGTGTCCTCTAGGGCATAATGACAAATTGTGGTACAACATTAAAATGCCACCGTTATTGCAAAAGTCTGCTCAAGCGACCCTTCGGCTCCGACGGCAGGACCTCTCCAGCAGGATCTTCTTGCCTGCTCACACGCAGGTTGTTTGTAGCACAGCTCGGGTGTAACGCTGACGTGGGCTGGATAGTATTCAAAAACAGGGGAAAAGATGGGACAATAAAGGTCTAGCGGTCTTGCTCTCATCATCGTCATCATCATCGGTTTCTCACACCAGTCCTCCAATAAGCAGTGATTTTTTCAGGAACAAAAATGTCCGACAGCTGAGAAAACATACAAGCTATAAACATTTTTTGTCAAAGGACGCAGCATGTAAAATAATGCCCATTCCGGTAGCATTTTGGCTGCTATTTCCCAGGTGATTGTGATGACACTTTCAGGGGGTAGCCATGCTGAGGGGCAGACGGGGTTAACTTCAGATGACGAGGAGAAGAGTGGCACTTCTTTTCCTGCTTTTTTTGTGTCTTTTAATTTCTGTTACTATTTTGTGTTACAGACATCGAGGAAAGCCCTGCCTGTTAACATTGTAGAGGGGGATTCAGCCCTGCTGAATTCACTCCGGGTAGGTTAAGAGACCCAGCTCTTAAACTCGGCTGGAACAGGTAGCGTTTCTCAAACCAGCATGTGCCTGCGGCGGTGGAGCGCCAAGTGATCTGAGCGGGAAAAGCTGCGGTCACAGTCTGCACACTTGAATGGCTTCACTCCCGTGTGCTTGCGGTAATGCCTCGTCAGTTCGTCGGAGCGAGCAAACTTCCAGGTGCAGCCTTCCCAGGTACACTTGTAGGGTTTTTCTCCTGGGAGAGACAAAAGAAAGAGGGAAGGGGGTGGAAAAATACAGGTGGTGACTTTCCCCTTGTTTTGCTCTTAATCCCCGCAACCCCCTCTGCACACTTCCCATCAACACCCACTGCCTAGGGGTTGCTTTAGGCCGAATTACACAATTACCAGGTACCGAATCTGCTGAATATAAGGAAAGGGCCTTGAGATTTATCATTCCTGTGGCATTCACATGACTAAGAAAATCAACAGGATTAAGGAAACAATATAGATCCTACCTTGCAGGGGTGATGTGGGGATTAACATCAGGACAAAGGGCTGTGTAATTATTCCCATGATTACCGTACAAGTTTGCTACCCTCATTTCATTAGGCCACACTTTCTCCCAAAATAGCCAGATTACCTGATATTTCAGCAATTTATCACAGGCTGCCACAGACTTCCAATTATTTTTATGAAGCTTATGAAGGTTTCTAATTATTTGGGTAAACAACATTGCAGGAAACTTCTTAGCAAGCTGGTAAAAATTAACTACAATTTCTGTATTAAACATAAAAATTCCATCTACATAACATCCTCTTTATTTATTGTGTTTACTTTCAGTAAAATTAAAATTTGATGTGTAAAATGCTATCAGGAACAGCATACAATTTTTAAATGTACTCAGCCATGGGACTTGCACAACGCTGTTGATAAATACCCATTTACCCCAGTGAGATGAGACTTGGGTTAAGTGTACATTTTTGGTCAATCCCACTCTCTGCTTTTTATTTAAAGGTAGGCATGATGTGTGATTTATGTTCTCTGTCTTATCATGTCAGAAGAGATTAATGCAGCAAATCTGGATTTTGTGCTTTCATAAAGCAAACTGTTATAAACCCCATTTCTGCCATGTTGGTAGGCTGTATTTGTTATTTCTACCACCAGTCCTCAATGTCTACATGCTAAATGCTCTTGGCAGTTACTTCGATCCCACAGTTGAGCATGCACCAAAACCGAGGAAGGGAAACTGTGTGAGGTCCGTATGTATTTTCCTCTGGTGTGTCAAAAATGATTTTTAACCTCCCGTTCCGAAACCAGCTAATCACAACCGAGACAACAAAAGCGCATCTCTGCAACAACTGTTTCCTTCATCCGGCACCATCATTCCTCAGTTATTTATTATCTCTCATGAATCACGAGCAGCTTGCAAGAAACTATTTCAATTACACGAACCAGTGACGCAACCCTTGCTTTGTCGTAGGCAGCACCTCCCTCCATGTATCTCTTCAAAAGTCAATAAACGCCTTCCTGAGAGCCCTCCGTTTCAAAAGGAAATTCCTGTGTAAGGATATCATAACCAAGTTCAAACGGCCCTGAAAGCTCCAGCTGAAATGGCCACGGGTGTCTCTGCAGGGAAATCGGATGCTGCACAGGCATGTCAGCAGGGTTGTCGGCAACATTTGAGCTCCTTGGGCTGGTACCTTCTGTGCACCATCTGGGCTGCGCTGCAGTTTTGATGTCAGACGGGGGTGGGAAACAGTTGCCACGTGAAGAACCGAGCAACCCAGGCTCTGAGGTGACCACAGCCCATAGCTGCACCGGCAGCACCTCAGCCTGGGTAATTTTACAGTCCTCCCCCAAGCACAGAGCATCAAAAAGAGATCATTGCTCCCAGAGCAGCCACAGCGTTGGGCGCCTGGAATCCATCAGCTGCTGCGAGCTGGATGGGCACAAGCTCCATGGCAGATGGTGGGGTGCGTGCTCTTGCCAAGGACAAAGTGCTACAAAACATGTCCAAATTCACTGCCGAACTGCCTTACACACAGACCCTTGCCACAAACAGTTGGTGCAGAGCACTGGACAAATATAGCAGCGCTCCCATTTGACCCAGCAGGTCTATCCTAACGCTTCTGTCACACCACATCAACAGTTTCCAAATGGAGCACTTGCCCTGTCCATCCTCAACGTACCTTTAAATTCTCTTTTTGTTTAGATACTGCCTGGTTGGTTTCCTTGACCACAGAGACTTCCAGAGCAAAGCGAAGAGGTATTTCCTAAGCTTTGGATCCTCATTTAAAAGCATCTGAAAGTTTACGCTTCTCCCTGCCTCAAGATCCTTCCCCTGCAATGGCCTCTTTGGTACACAAATCCCAGATCTTGGCAGAAGACAAATGGAGGATGTTATGCAGGGAGGAATGGTTGGTGAAAGAGAAATACCAGAAATAGTTTGTTTGTCCATTAAAACAGTATCACTCTGGGTAAGAAATGCAAATCAGCTGATGGGAGGACGTGAGCACAGGTCACAGCTGGAGTTCCCAGTGCTGCTTCCAGCCTCCCTCCCCAATATGTTCTGCTTACCCAGCCCCTGTGGAGCTATGTGAAAGAGACAGGGCTAACCACATTCCTCTCAAGCTATTTACACCACTGAAGGAGAATCACTCTTACAAGCTCAGCCTAAGAGGAGCTTTCATTATTTTCAGTTAAATATAGGTGTATAGCATAAGAAGGGAAAAAACAGGCAAAGTAGCATGACTCTGAAGATATTCAGTCATATGCACCTTAAAAAAGCCACTGTAAAGAAAACTGTGAAAGATATGATTTTTCATAAATATTAATCAACAGCATTTTACGTGAACCTGATTTATAGGGGAAGAATAATAATATCACTTTTCTCTTAAATGCCCACGTTATCTGTGAATGGACAGGTGCTAGAAAAAAAAAATGCTGTTCTTCCTAGGCAGTACTACAGCAACTGCTGACCTTTGGTTTGGTAACATCCACACATGAAGACTGACCACTGAGTTTGTGAAAACCAGGAGATCCAGGAATTCAAAGGATGGAGAAAGGATCAGCAGGAGCAGAATTGCTTGGCTTAAGTGCTTTGAGCTTAAGTGTCTAGGAAACTCTGAGCTTAAGTGTCTAGGAAACTGTTGGGTTCACAGTTTCAGCTCCTTCGATGGCTCAGCAGGCTCTGGAGCAAGGGTGCAGAGCTACTGCCACACACCCAGACACCCAAATTCTCCTTCAGGCCTAAGGAGCCAAAGCAAGCGGTGTGAGTCTTGCCCAGGGAAATGGAAACATGGGAATGAAGGAGAAGACAAAACAGTGGAGAGTTTTTGGAAAGTGGCAGTAAAGAGAGCTGCAGATAGAGACTAAAATCCTGCGGCAACTGACATGAGGAGAAAAAGAAAACTGGAAAAAGATAAAAGCTTGTGAGTTAGTTCAATCTTCCAAATCTGTACAGTTTTAGACTTCCAGAAGCTACCCATTTGAAAATAAACGCCTGAAGCTGTAGACATTGTCATAGGAGCTGACCCTCTACTTTCTCACCTGTCTTTAAGAGCTCTCTATTGTTTTGTCTCAAAAGCTGACAAAAAGATCCCAAAACACAGAGAAATTGTGTTCTGATGCTACTCCATAGCTCTGTCTTGCAATACATGGGCAGTGAACGCTATGCCATGGCTGGCATTTACAAGGATCAAGTGGGACCGCAGAACACCAAAAAGTTCTTCTAGAAAGGTCCCTGTGGAAAATGAGTGTTTTCTATTGTTTGTGGAAGTTAATTATGAAGTTTTAAAGGTATGACTCAATGCCCCAAATGGAACAGGTAATTTTTTTAATCTTCTATTAACAAAACATCTATTTCTAAGAGCCCTCCGAAATACTGCCTTTTGTAGTCCAGATGCCACAATCCAAATTAGTTTAATTACTTTTACCCTATTATTTTTCCTACCTTACCATGACTCCTCCTTTCACTTAAGAACTTAAGAACATAGTTACAACGGTTACTCATTAAATCTCCCTAAATTCAAGCAAATAATGAATTAATAATGCTGAATAATGACCACAATTCAGCCAATCCTTTCAAATTTTTCCACCTTCCCCACAGCCCAACATCTGTCTTTCCATATCCTTATTCATATACTCCAACATCCGGAAGATCACTCACTCAAGGAAACAAATATCTCTTAAACTTCGACTTTACAACTCAATCACATTCACATTCTCCTTAAAAAAAAGCCCCATGTGGGTGCCAGCAGGAGACCGTGCCATGCAGCAGAGGAAGGGACCAGGGTCTGCTCTACCCTGGGCAGGATTTCCCACGGGGTATGCTCCTAGGCGGCCATCCTCTGCCCATCAACTCGCTGGTGTCATGGTATTTGATGCCAGATGCAAAAACACCATGCAAATAGTGATGGGTTACTCTGTCTGTAGCGAAACTACTCTGGAGCTTCAGGAAACAGAGCCGGGCTAATGTTCCCTGGCAAGAAACTTTATTTACAGTGTATTATTGTGTATTATTTAAGCTTCATTTATTCATTGGTTTAGCAGGCTCTTGGCTACCACGTCATTAAGTAATGATGAGGTAACGCTGTCTACTACCAGGACAGAAAACATCCCCATGAAAACGCTCTCAAGCAATTTTCTTCTCTGGCATAAACTCTCTGGTATTACAGGTGAGTGCCATGCCCCTTGTGTTCTCCTCAGACATTCCCATCTATCCAACTTTCCTGCACATATAATTCTCACCATGACTCCAAGTTATTACATCACTTCCCTGTAGTCCCTTCCTGCAATGGCACTTGGCATTTTGAAATGCTGGTGACAGTTTTATTCCAAATAAGAGTCAACAAAAGATACACATAAGGGACTGTTCAGCAGTACAGGCTTAGCCATCTAGGCAGATTTTTCTGTATATAAGTTTTCATCACCCTGTGAAAGAGCCACATGCTGAAATTTGCCTTCTGAGAAGAACAAAGTTAGAAAAGCACTTGGAAACAAACCTTGGTTTATAGCTTCCAAACTGGGAGGGTGGGAACATAGGGGAGATGCTGTTCCTCACCGTGTTCACAAAATATAATAGGTTTAAGTCAAACTTGCACAGTCTAATAGATGCCACTTGCCCAGCCCTGCTATCTGCAGCCACATCTTTATATACTCAGTTTCCACTGCCATTACTCTTGGAAGAATATTTCCCACATAAAAACAGAGTGAGGTCCTAAGGATTTAGCTCATAATAAGTTGAAAAAAAACC